ATAGAGTGAGCTTTGGTTTTGTTTCTTCGCAATCGTTTTGATAATCGGTTTTGTCTTCCTGCCCTTTTGGATGTTTATTTGGTTTTTCATCCTTAACGGATTTTACTTTTATCTCCACTCCTGCCTCTTGTCTACCTGGGGTTCAGCATATTGGGTCCAACCCTCCTGATCTCAACATGACAAGATATGGATGTTCTAAAACTTGGCAAGGTCTTTAAGATAGCTTAGCTATGATTTGAGGCTTGTGCACATTGGAAGACATTGGTCATTGACAATCCAGAGCCAATCCTGAAATCAGGTGTAGGATACAACTCAAACCCTCTGTCAGTATCGTGTTTGCATAGCTGCATTTCATTGGGATTTAGGAAAGTGTGTGTCATGATCATCTTCACACTGAAGAAAGATGTTCTAAAGCGCAACAATCCAGCCGTGTACAGGTTATAGAGAGAGTAACAATGTCATAAACTATAGTGGATGGGTATTCAAAAGTCCAGATTTATCTCCTTGTCTGTTTTTAACTTTGAGTAACAGGTAGCTGACTGGTTGTGACAAAACAGGTTTTATTTACCGTACTTTCCGGACTATAAACCGATACTTTTTTCCCACGCTTTGAACCATGTGGCTTATAATGAGGTGCGGCTTTACTGAAGATTTTCCTTCACCTGCAGGGGGCGCTTTAGCAGAAAGTGAAACAGGTGGAAGTCAAAAGTGGAAATCGAAGAAAGTGCTCATTTTAATTTAGCACATGCAAGCAGCCGGCACGACGAAGAATTTTTTTCAAATCCATACCCCCTCATCATGGTAACTACACGCATGAGTTCATATGTTGCCGCATTTAAGTTGAAGGCCATCGATCTGGCAGTGAAGGAGGGAAACAGTGCTGCCACACGTAAGCTTGGCATGAATGAATCCATGGTTCAGCGCTGGAGACGGCAGCGGGAAGAACTCATTCAAGCCAGCTTGACCCGGGGAGGACGACAGCAACACGGACAGCGACACTGACATCGCCACAGAAAAGGTATGTGACGAAGCTCTTCTGAGGCTGTTCAACTCTGACACTGAAGAAGAGGACTTTAATGGCTTTAGTGCGCAAGAGGAAGATGAGAGCGAATGACATTTTCTGGTAGGCAAGTGTGTTTTATTTACTAACCAGGTGTGTTTTGTGTGCAGTTTTTATTTTCTAATGATCCAGGACTTATTAATGCTGTGTTCTTTTCTTCTAAACATGCATGCAAATTACCGGTAATAACGTGTCAGTTGTGTTTTTATTTTATAACCATCCAGAAATATGAATGCTATTAGTGCTGTTTTCTTTTCTAAACTTGCAGGCACGTTCACCCGTGTTTAAAATTCGTTTTGTTGAATTAAAACAACAACGAAAAACCTCCGTGTAGCGTCTTTCTGTCTAATTATCTTATGTTATAGCCATACATGCGCTGTGCGCCAGAGACCTGCATGTGGCTGCTGCGCTGCGGCTTGTATTTGAGTGCGGCGTGTGTGTGTAGAAAACCTTTTTTTAGTTGGTGCGTCTTATATTGAGGTGCGCTCTATAGTCTGGAAATTACGGTATTTGATGTTGTTCTGACATCAAACCGGTTTACTTGACTTGCTGAAACACACACATACACCTTCTCAGGATAAGCAGCTGTGAACCTTCCCAGATGTAATATGACTTGCCAAAACCTCTTCCTGCTACTGCTAGTTATCATTATTTACTGCTGCTCATAACTTCTTTGTCCCAACACACAAAAGGTCTGACAGCACTCCGGAGATCAGCCAACAGTACATAGTCAGAAAGTCCAAAGGGCTCAGTGTGAGGAGGAGGAGGATCAAACATTCACACACAGAAGCATGGACGTAATTTTGGGGGGGGGGGGGGGGGGGGGGGGGGGACAGGGGGGACATGTCCTCCCCACTTTTTCCAAAGTCAAGCTTTGACCCCTGCACTTTTTACCATCCAAAAACAATATTACACCATATTAAATTGACACTGGTTGAGCTCTAGGACCAAGCAGAAAACAACCATTTGTGTTGAAGCCTGTTTCCCATTAGAACAGACTGTAAGGACCGCCCCCCCCCCCCCCCCCCCCTTCTAAAGAGAAAATTACGTCCATGCACAGAAGTGTCTCTTAGTGCCGTTTCTAAACTATGTAAGAGTCAGTTGTAGATGGTTTGCAAAATCCTGGAATGAAATACGAACTGTCATCCAAGACCGAGAAGAAATTATAAGAAAATAAAAACAACAACTCAGGGACCAAGGAGTAAACCCCGGAGACAGGAAGTGGGAGAGCTAGTTTGCCACCAGCCAACTGAGATTGGTACAAAATCGAAATGCTCAAATTTCATTGGTTAACAGCTTACGTTTGCAAATTTACCCAGCCTGTATTGATTCCTAAAAGCTACGAATGTCTTTAAATGTCTGCAGATGCTTGAGAGGGATGTAGTAAAATATGGAAATGCTGAAATATCACAATATGTTAAGATTCTGAATCTATATTGTAAAGTAGTGTATCACGTTTTAATTGAGAATTTACTTGCAAACAATTACTGGATTTCTTTTGTGAAGTGTAATTCAAACTCTGACTTCTAGATGGCAGCAGTTTTTATTACTTTATATCTGACGGAACAATGTGATAATGCTCAAAGTGTTTTGTCTGAGTTTTATCGTCCATCCATCCATCCATCCATCCATCCATCCATCCATCCATCCATCCATCCATCCAATAATCCACCCATCCATCCATCCATTTTCCTCCGCTGATCTGGAGTCGGGTCAAGGGGGCAGTAGCCAAGAGGCCCAGACTTCCCTCACCCCAGCCACTTGGGCCAGCTCTTCCGGGGGAATCCCAAGGTGTTTCCTGGCCAGATGAGAGACATAGTCCCTCCAACATGTCCTGGGTCTACCTTTAGGGCTCTTCCTGGTTGGACGTGCCCGGAAAACCTCACCAGGGAGTCGTCCAGGAGGCATCCTGACCAGATGCCCGAGCCATCTCAAATGGCTCTTCTTGATGTGGAGGAGCAGCAAATCTACTCTGAGCCCGGACCGATGACACATTTACTTACAGTTTAATTCTATTAAAAAAATTGCAACAATCTTCTGGCTTTTGGTTTCTCAATATATTGTATTGTCTCCCCCGTATTGTGATATCCAGACTCTTACCAATACACACCTCTCTGCTTTAGGATAAGAACTTAATGTTCCCAAAAAATTAAACGAGAGGCTCAAAGGTGACTTAAAGCCCGGATTTCCCATCTTTTGTGCGTGGAGAGTATAAGAAATACTTTACTTGGAGTGTGTGTTTGTGTTTGGGACCTGTAGCTTAATCCCTGAGGAACTCTAGGAATGATTTTACATTTGTGCAGCAAAACATTTTTCAATTGCTTATTTATCAACAACTACAACACAGCACACATGTCCATAACAGGGCAAGCACAGAATCTGCAGTTGGCAATCTTAGCTCCGCAGACCGCGCTATGGGAGCTAACCAAGCAACATTAATGGTAAACATTTTCCACAGAGCAGAGAGAGAGAACGAAAAAAAAACCTAATTCCATGCACTGTGCCTCTCTACTCTTTCAGATTCCACCAGCTTCAATCAAGAGCCCTTTATTCTGAGGCTCCTATCCTCAGACGGGGGAACCAGAGCTGCCACAAAATGGCTGCGGGAACAATGTGCAAGCTTGATTACTCTATTGTGAGTTAGCGTTGGCCTTTGACATCTCCTCCTGAACCGAGAGTGTCTTTTCTGACAAGGATCGTCTGGAGACACAGCTGGCAGGCATTGTTACAGACAGGTGCCATGTATGCCCTGCCTCTTCGATGGAGAAGGCAACCAGTAAGACAATAACTGAAGGGGAGAAAAATATCTGTCTGTCTGCATGTTTCTGGGCTTTGTTGTTGTTTTTTGAGAGACTTTCCTTGAGTGTCCAAAAGGTTATAGGTGGATAGAAATCAGGGTCCATGAAACAACACGACTTTATACGCTCAGAAGATGCAGAATGTAGAAGGTGTAATGTCTGCAAGGCAGGAGCGTATGGCATAAAGAGTAACGGCCTGGGAAAGTCACACATGGTGCAGAATTGGTAGGAGAGTGTATATGTCAACTAAAATCATGCATCTGTGTTGACAATTTAACAGATTGAGGTCAAATCATGCTAACTTCCCACCATCAATGACACGAAAACCCACCTGAATTCAACATTTGAAGAAACAAACACAAGTAATATTTTTATATGTATGTATTTACTAGGGCTTGGAACATAACACGTTAATTCCAATTAATGAATTAGAATTTTAAAAAAATTACCTCTTGGCCCAGGCGTCCCCCAGTTCTAGGGCGGAAAAGTCTAGCATCAAAATATATGCCCTATGAATGAATACATGTGATCAAGCTGCACTTCTAAAAAAAAAAACTGTAGATCTTGGGCAAAAAGACCATAAACCTTTTTACATGTTCTGCAATCTTTTACTGTTATGTTTTCTAGTTGGTAGAAGCAGGCAGGCAGTAACTTTATCCATATGATTTTTATTACAGCAGGAGGGGTGAGCATACATGCATCATTCATCTTGTAACCCTCAGCAGAACTTCCCCTGAACTCTTCACTACACCTCTATACATATATTAGCAGTGTTCTGCTACCACCTAGTGTTCAGTTCAGTACACAACAATGTTCCAAGTCCGTTTACCCTTCCTCGATAACACATTTACTATTATTTACACATCCCTACAAATCCCACACTGGTTACCTTTCTAATAGGACCAAAGCAATCAAACAGACCTAATGGTTACAGAAATACACTCATTAAAGTGTGAGTATGTCATCTGTGCCTCGTTAAAATAATGCTTAATAAAAAAGGAGAGATTAAAATTAGATTAATCAAGATTAATAAATTACAAAGCCTGTAATTAATTAGATTAATTTTTTAAATCGAATCCCACCCCTAATATTTACTAATATGCAAAATGTATAATCACAAGACTGATGACACATTTACTTACAGCCTTTGTAGATGTCTGTGGGAATCTGGACAGCACTGGAGGAGTAGTTGACCTTGTTTTTAAAATTGGGATCATCGACAAACTCCAGCTCCAGCGAGGACGAGGACAAGCTCTCCAGCACACTTAAGTCTTCGTCATCCTCTGTCTGCTGAAACATATGCGGGCATACAAAACACACACACACAAACCTGAGTCAGCAAACAAAACAGAAACTGGTTTTAAAAATGACTAACAAAGGGCAGCGGATTAACATGTTGCTCTGCAGTTTGTTACATTTAAAATCGTTCTTCATGACTCAGCTTGGGTAAGCACAGAAATAGCAGTTATTCCTTACTGCTGCATGCCCTCAGATTAAATGGTTGTCTCCTTTCTCCTCCAATCAGACAACAGCAGCAGGTATCAGAGCAGATACCAAACACACAGACTCATTACTGGTCCCGATAACAATCACAGAGATACAAAGAGCCAGGTAAATTAACCCCAACAATAACTAGCAAAAAGCACCACTTAATCATTGCTTTGCTTCCCACCACCAACAACAGGTTCATTCATCTCTATTGCTGGAAACCACCAATACCAGTCTAATATTTAAACTATTTCAGCTATTGTCTACTACCGATGGTTTGAAATCTTGCACATATTGTATTTGGGATTAAACTTTAAACAAATCATCAAAAAATGAAACATTGAAATCTGTAGAATTAAGTGATGTTGAGATTTAAGAAAATAAATGACAGCTTGAAATAATCCTACAGTCTGACTCAGCTCATGAGCATATTTATAATTTGATATTAAGGTGTGTGTTCACTAAAGCTTTGGTTGATGTCATTAGTAAACCCTTACAGATCAAAAGAAAGGGGAAAAAGCAGAATTTGTTAAATTAACTTCGGTAAGGTGTAAGTCTGCCATCCCTTTCTCTCTTCTTGAGTCGTCAAAAACATTTGTAAAATGAAATCCCCATTTCAGAAGATTCTCATTCATTTATGCTCTTCAAAAGCCATTAAGTGATCCTGAATGATGTAAATTTGCTCTCTCTGTTTTGACGGGTTAATTGGATCTGACACGAATGAAAACAGTTTAGTTTATTTTTTCTTTTTTTGTTGTTTTGAGGGATAGGAATTAACCCACCCACCCCCACCCCCCATGTCCACAGCAGCAGCTGATTGATGGGCTAACTTTAATTGACTATTAAAATACAATTACAAACTGTCATTGGGACGAGCCGGGGGAATTTTAGAGATGAAGCCTCGCTGCAAAAAAACAGAAGAGACAGTATAATTTCATAAAGGAAAGGAAAACACTTGAGAGAAGTTTTCTACATGTGTAATGATCTATCCTATATATATATATATATATATATATATATATATATATATATATATATATATATATATATATATTTCCTCACTGTAAAATTCTCACTAAATTCTTACATACTGCACCTTTAAGTCATGACAAATAGAGCCCACATATTGGCAATTTTGTTAATATCAACAGAATTTGAGGATAATTATTAACTTAATTTACAAAAAATACTTTTCATGCTAGGTCTTTTCCTAAGCCAGAGACAGGGTTGGTGTTGGGGAGAGAAGTTGGTAACCTAATTGCAATTGACGGTGAACTGTAAATAAATTAGTATGCTTAGAAATTAAATTAGGTGTGTTGGAGTAGAGAAGCATCTCAAACAAGTAGAATATTGGCCCTTGAGGACCAGGATAGGACACTGCTTTAAAGAAGTATTCCAGGTTTAGAATCTGATCCCCCCAAAAAAGTGTTCTGTCAATAATTTTAGATAAGCGTCCAACCATAGAAAAGTAAACCAAATGTGCTTTGAGCTGGATGTGCAGCAGGCCGTGTTGCGTTGGGTTTTTAGAAACAAGCTGTGGGAGGAGATTTCAAACAGAGGAACAAATGTCAACACAACACCAGCTGCTTAGAAACCTTCTACAAATAATCACACCAAACTACTTTATTTAATGTCGTCAATATGAACGAGTATGAAAACCTCCAACTTTTAGGTGTTTTGTTGATGTTAAATTAGAAGTGTGTATCATTTACGATCATCTCAAACCGCAGGCTCTGATTTTATTTCCACACCTGGCTCTAGTGGGTCTCCATACTCATGTTTCAAGTTAATAGCACAGAATAAAGCCAGAAGGTATACCTGAAATTGGCAAATAACATGTATTTCTAATTAAAGTAAACATCAGTCATGCTCTTGCATATTACAGTGCACATTTCTATCAAGGAAACAGTGACAGGAGGAGAAATTAACAGGGAGAAGCAAAAGGGAGGAGAATCAGCCATTACTTACCTTTACTTTGAAGCAGTTTTTCCTGACATGTTGTAAATAGCACAGGAGTATGCTAGCTTCAATAAAGAGTCAGAGGAAATGGGCGTGGACGACTGGTGAGGGCTCAGAGAGGAATGACCTCTGCTTCATTTATGCCACTGGTTTTAGGAGGTTATAGGTTTGCTGATGAGCGGGTCAGGGGTGCATCACTGTCTCGGCCTCAGCGTGCCATGTTAATGATGACCGATGTTCTCCAATTAGACGTGCTGACAGGCCCTAAAGCGCCGTGTCATTAATCACACGACTAGTGTGCACAAAGAGAAAATCACACCATGATTTATTGCTCCTCTGCTTCTCTTTCTCACTCTGTCCCATCTTTTATTGTGCTCTGGTGATCTAAAAGGGATTCTCGCTCTCTTCCTTGAAACGTAATCAATCAGCAGGGTGTGGGTTCCTAAGTGTACCCCTATCCTGGGGAGGAAGTGCAGTCTGGAGCAAGAGTGGCGGCATGGTGAGACCAATGGGGAGTGGAGCTTCCTCATCCCACTGGTCTTTTCTCTAAATGCTGTTTCTGTTCTTCAATCTAAATACCATTTTAAAAAGCTGCTCTGTTGTATGAACTTGGGAAATGATGTTTTACCGTGAAGGACACTGGGGCACAAAGGCACAAAGGTCAGTTCTGGTCAGGGGGACGTAAAAAAAAGCGAGTCTGGAAAGAACATCGGGGGGGGGGGGGGGCATTTTAATTCACTGACACATGCATGTCGACCTGTCCGTGCTCTGCCACTAACTCACCATACAGCAGCACCACCTCACCTAACGCACACAGACAGCGCAGGTTCCTGCGACGCGAGGAGGGAGGGCAACGACATCGAAGAGGCCGAGGGAAAGGGGGAGGGGCTTGCAGGAAACAGTCGGAGGGGTGTATGGTTCGGGTAGGATCTGGCGGGGATTAAGGCAGGCAGACGGGGTGGTGGGGATGGGAGAGGGGAGCAGTCCGTACTGTACTCACATATTCTGAATCCGCTTTGGAATCGTAGTATGAAATGGCATTCTCCTGTGCAGAAAAGAAAAGTGAGAAGAAAGGCGATGAGAGGAGATATAGCAGTGCCTATATCGACCCCCGACCTGTGGTGGTAAGCAAGAGAGAGTCATGGTTATATTCCATCACACTGTTCAGCATGAGAATATAATCAGCATCACAGAACACAGGAGGAGTAGTGTGATGCTGCAAAGGTGAGATGTGTTAGTAAGATGTTGGAACACAAGTTAGGAAGTTCTCTTGTGCTGTGGGAAGCTGTTGTCCATCTGTGGGGTGATGTGTTATGAGCTCAGATGGTCTGAGGTGAAGAAACTCAAAATCTCTGTGGGAGTTTAATCAGCCAACTCTCACCAGAGGGTAGAAACACAAAACGAAGAATGACATTTTATGTCACTGTGTTGCACTTAAAACATTCTTCTTAATCACTTAAGTTACCAGGCACCTGCTGAAGTCTCACATCCAGCCTCTCACCTCCAGGCTTCTACACTTCAACCACCCACACACTCAGGACACGAGCCTCCCAGACGCTCTTGTTTCACCGCTGTCCTTATCTCCCTCGCGGGTAGGCGTGAGGGTAGGCAGAGGATACGAGCAGCGAGCGGCATCCGCGTGGCTCACTTCATTATCACGAGGACGCCGGCTGGAGATGGACTCTCAAGGGCGACGCAGTGACCGCCTCATCCTCACTGGGAGAGCTGTGGTCACGGTCTGGTGAGGGAGGCCGGCTGACAGAGATATCAAGTCTGTTTTTGTAGTAAATCTTTCCTTAGTTATTTTTATTAAGTCTATTTGTATCTTGATTTACAGTTTATATTTTTAGCGCTTCAAGAACCACATACGGTATATTTAGTCTCTGTCAGCCTTAAAAAAAACTTTAATGGTTTGAGCATAAAAGCCTCAACTTAACCTGCACCCCCTTTCTCCGAAAACGGCTGAGAATGAGAGAAAACGAGCAGAGTGGCAGGATGAGAGCAGATCGATCAGGGGGTGCGTTGGGTTGGATGAGTTGGAGGTCAAGGATGGAAACTCAGGTTGGGTTGTTGTGAACAAATTAACTCGGAGGGAGGACAGACATGATGATGAAGGGAATAGTAGAGCAACAACAGCACAGACTAAAAATAGCCCAATGCCTCTGCAGAGAGAGAGAGAGAGAGAAGAGGAATGGGATGAATGAAGGCTTCTGCATTGTTTTGCCTGATCTGAAGTTTACTCTCGATACCACTTCCTGCATCTTTCTCAATGCAAATAACACAAAAAGATGTAGCCAGACAGGAGAAAATCCACAATCGGGTCCTACTTTACACTTGACCACCGCACTAATACTAACTTTAGGTAATGAAATACCTACTATATAAATAAATAAATAAATAAATACAATAGCAAGAAAACCCTTAAAGCGTATGCCATACTTTCAGTACTTGTTTCATTGCTGCAATCATAAAATATAAAGGTCTATCAAAGAAAGCATCTGGGAAATGGACACCAATCTTAAATATCTTTTGAAAATAAAAAAGTAACTTTTATATTATATTATGATATAAAGTTGTCAAGTGGGCCTATTTTTATATTAAAGCACATGGGACACCACTCTGCAGCCCTCTGCTGACCAGAAACAGCACATCTTGTGGAGCGGGTAGGTGCCCAAGGGGGCGCTCTTTACCTGCTTAACAGTTGTTAGCTATTTTCTGTGACAGTAGCTAATTTAAGGGCTAGCGGTTGGCTTTTTCTGTTCACCAACCGTCAATAAATAAAACACAAGTTGAAGAAAAAGAAAGTTTGATTTTATTTTCATTTTTTTGGCATTGTGGAGCCTGGAATAAAAGTCAGAGAGTAATGTCTTTGGAGGTAAAGCAAAGAGCTAAACCTGAGAGATGATTGGCCTGCACCTATTTAAGGAAGCTAAAGGAGGCTATGAAATCACGGGCTGATGGTGACCTGGCTTTGTTGCTACTGGACTTGTAAGTAATACATTTTTTTTTCCAACAGAGTGAATTAGTTAAATGTTTTCACATGACAGTATAGATGTTTATGCTGCTTCAAATGGAACATGATCATGGTTCAAAAACACTAACATAGACATGACCAAACACTCCTTAACATTAGTGAGTATGCTAAATGTTTATCATTTAAAATTAATTGGTAACAACCAAGCTTACAAGCCATTTGCATGGTCAATAATTTGGAAAGTCTAATTGTTTCAGTAACAGTCTCAAACAAATGGATAAACCTGTCCTAGTCAATAAATTGCTGCATATACTAACAGAGCCTTGCCTACTCTAACTTAGCTGGAGGTGCAGAGTATGACATCTCTGCAGTGTGACTAGAAAAGTGCTGATGGCCCAAAACATGTTGGTGATCCTGGATTAAAACCAATACGTTGGTAGTGTGACCATACACAGACCCACACCGCAGAGATGGATCCATGTGCTTAGCCCTTCTGTTGTGTTAGGGCCAAAATGGACCCGTTTTCAAGTTTAACTGTGTAAAAAGTACACTTTCTTTTTGTCCTGGAGCGAGGCATCATCTAATCCTCAGACACACCCATTTAAATGCAGCAAAATCAATTTTCACAATTTTAGTAAATTCTAAAGGTCTCTAAAGAAATAAGTTACATCTGTGTTGTTACAGGTCCAAAATGACCCGGCAGAGAAAACTGGCTGTTGCATGCATCAGTTAAATGCTATGGGTTGCTCTGAGTATCAATTATGGCCCAATGTGCACAGTTATGACACACACACACACACACACACACACACACACACACACACACACACACACACACACACACACACACACACACACACACACACACACACATTACATTTTACATCTAAAAAAAATTCACACATATTCTGAATATGTCTTGAAATACACACCCAGTCAATTATATTTAATGTGCACGAGCACAACACTGAATAAACCCACAACAGATGCACCTAAAACTTCCCACTGACACAAACTGCTATCAGTAAATTAAATCTATGATCCTGAGTGGACCAACAAATTCCAAAATGGAGACAGACACCGAGGTCAGGTGATGATCTACGGCCCCTCCCCCACATTCATCTTCCCTGCTCATCTCCTCGCCCCTCCTCACCTCCTCATCCTTATCTCGCACCGTTCCCTCTCCTTTCGTTTTTTGCTCCATCACTCCTCCTCCCTGCTAGGTCTTATCTCCATCTTTCCTCCATCTCTCCATCCTCAACACCAGCATCCTCTTGCCAATTTCAGATTTCAGCAGAAGCAGGGGTGTATGCTAGATGCCTAGCATTGCCATGGAAACCACCCCTCTGTTCTAGATTACAATACGACTTTGTCTTATCATCATTGCTACAACAGCTTCTTCCCTTTGATTTTGTTGTTGTCTTGCGTAGGATTCAAAAGTCATCTCTCACTTGTGGTTGCACGAGTAAACTTAATAATCGCCTTTAAAGACCAGAGCCTTTGATTTTAATCTGTGTGCAGAAGACATCTAAGCCAATAAGTGATTGATTTGCAGAAGGCAGCAACAGTTCTCATAGCAATTTATGCTATGGGAAGGTGCAGTCAGTGGGACTAAATGTTTTGAATTTGAGCTCTCTCAATTTGCTGGTTGAGACAGGTTGACATTTGAGTGTGTGACAAGCGCTCTGTCATGGGAGAGGACAGATTACAGCCATATTCATATCTCCTCTGGACACCTGCTAATGATTTTATAATTACAGAAGACACTCTGTGCCTCCGCCGTGCCCTGGGGTGTCCACACAAACGTACTGTAACGCATACACACTCGCAGTGCACCTCTCCCTCTGGCCCTGACGCTCTGGCAATCATTCCTCGCACCGCTTTCCCTAATGGAAGCTGCCATTATATGAAACACAATGAAGGATTTCATTTACTGCTCTTCATTAACCCATACTCATCAGCCCATAAGGTAAACACACACCAACACACACACGCTCACACATGCACAGCTCATCTGATTTCAGTGCAAGTTCGGGAGGGTTTTCTGGAAAAAGTCAAGGAAATACAGGTCAACCTCACGCCAGAGTTTTTTACTAAGATATGTTGAGTAATAATGGAGTTAACATGCAGTGGTGTTAAACATTAAAAATGATCAGTGCCCAGTATCTTATGATAACAATAGATTTTGCTGTCTTTTAGCCTTTAGAGTGCATGTTTTGATGCACGTAAATGTGTAGCTCAGTAAGTGTTACATTTATTGAGGTATAGTTTATTTTTTAATTTGCCAAGGTAGCTTGGCTCGAGCCAGCCAGTCCTTTAGACAAGGAATAGACATATCAGGCAGATATTTACCATTTTTTTAGACATAAGTTGACTAATCTTTTTAGTAGAATCAAATAAAACACAGGCACATCCTGCTGCCAACTGTTTTTAAATGTAAGTTTATATTCCTGAAAAACACCTAAATTATTTAAACACTATCGCCAACCGATATTTATTTTATTTAACAGTTTTATATTTAATACTTGGTTAGTTTCTTTGTTTAATTAACATTTTCAGTGGTCTCTATGACTGAATCGATCGTGAGCGCAAGAGCTAGAAGTTTGATCTGCAACGTTGTCTTATCTCCACAAATAACACAAGGCTGAAGGGGCTCTGCCATGTTGAGAAGTTGGTAATGCTAATGGTTAGCTTCTACTATGAGTGCTAAATCAATACAGAATTCAACAAAAATTGAATCAAGTTCAGAAATGTTGATCATCAGCTGTTATTATTGATGACCAAGTAACATGCAAATATGACAGAAAATGTGGAGAAATCGTCCCCCAAAAATGGCTGCCCTTATTTACCATTGGCTAACCATAAACTCTGCATATCGACATTGGTAATAGAAAAAACCATTTATTTGGGGTATTTCTGTTTTGCTTCCAACACCCCCTACAGCCATCTATTGGGAGTCAAATGCTACAGCAGAAAAGATATTTGTTGCATCATTTGGAAGGATTCTCCAAAAATCCACCATTAAAACAGATTCATTGCCATTTACATATAGAGCGTGTGTGTAATGAATG